TGTTATATCAATCTAATTTGATATTAAGGAAATACATAAATTGGAGAAAGAAATGGCCTCCTTTATACATTTTGATGTTTTTGCTGTACCTTCATTTTTTCAGATCCTTGCTGTCAAATAGGGTCTTTTAGAACTCTTTCTAGGAAGAAAGAAAGATTTTGTAACTTCATTTTTATTTCAGTGAAGTTTTATATAAAGCCTTCATAAAATTTTATATCACAGGTTTTTAGGTGGGAGGAGATCAAATATGTGTGCAATTGGAAATGATTACCAAAAACCCCCCAGAATATTGTCAGATTAGGAGTGAAACTCCTAATATATGATTAGGATTAGTGAAACTCCTAATATAATCCCTGTACTTTCTATTTTGGGTTACTGTTGATGAAGTTAGTTTAATGGAGGTGTCAGCATTAAAAAACACAGTGAAATAGAATAAAAAAATATCACAATGCATTACATATAGTAGGGGTATTAACTCATAATTTTGTTTCAGAAAAATGTATGTTTATGTGTACCAGGTCACAGAAGTAAGATGTATCTTACTGTGTTTTCAATTACTGTGTTTTCACTGGCCTAGAAAACTCTTTAATTTGTTTTGTTATCTTCCAGCTTTTGTTACCTTATTGAATGGGGAACAAGCCCAGAATGCAATTCAGATGTTTCATCAATATTCTTTTAGAGGAAAAGACTTAATAGTCCAGCTTCAGCCAACAGATGCTTTGCTGTGTATTACCAACCTGCCCATTTCTTTTACATTAGAAGAGTTTGAAGAACTTGTTCGTGCTTATGGAAATATTGAGAGATGTTTTCTGGTCTATAGCGAAGTTACTGGCCATTCCAAAGGCTATGGATTTGTGGAATACATGAAAAAGGACTTTGCTGCAAAGGCTAGATTGGAGCTATTGGGTAAACAGTTGGGAGCATCAGCACTCTTTGCACAATGGATGGATGTTAATCTATTGGCTTCAGAGCTCATTCATTCTAAGTGCCTTTGTATTGATAAACTCCCCAGTGACTACAGGGATTCAGAAGAGCTGTTGCACATTTTTTCCAGTGTCCATAAACCTGTATTTTGCCAGGTAGGTATTTTTAAGAGATTATTGGAAATATTTTAAAATATATACATATGTATCTAATCTACATACACTCACAGATTTATCATGCCTGTATGATTAACACAATGGATAATTTAACTCTGCATTATTCTGCAGGGAAGACTTTGATCTCATGGGAAATTTTAAATCAGTTCCTCTGTTTATGGGCCAAAGTACATTGTTCTGTAGTTAAGTATGCCTTAGCAAATCCATTGCTTACTCATTCACCTCATTCCATCCATTCGTCACTCCATTTTTCCATCAATCCATTCATCTATCCAACTTCTATTTACCATCTTCTGTGTGCCAGACACTATGCCAAGTGTCGGAAAGGCAGAGAATGGAAAGATACTCTATCTCAATGCCTCACAGTTTTATAGAAGAGACGGGCAAGTAAGCAACTAATTGCAAATCCTATATGAAGAGTGATATAATGGAGGATAGAAAAGTATTATGAAGTTTAAAAGGAATGTGTAGTTCTATCTTAATGTGGTCACGGTAGGTTAGACATCTAGAGAAGATCCTGAAAACTGATAACACTGGCAAGACTTTTCAAGCAGTTTATTATAGTAAAATTAAATGCATTCTAATAAATAAATAAATATATATACTATATATAACTCTTTTCCTTACAGTTTTGATGGCAACTGATCAATTGTTTCTCTCGTTTTTCTCCATTTGTTCCTTCTCCCTTTTCCCTTTTACTGCACTCCCTTCCCATCCATGCTCCTTTTCCTCTTACCTCTCTTGTTTCCTCTCCTCCTTTGTATTT